TATTTTTACGAGAAGGGGTAATGCAAAAATAATACAAACTTCAACTTAAGTACTTGGTACCTACCCAGGAAAAATGTTTTTGATATTTGTAGACCTTCAGCCGTGCACAAAAGTTAAATTCCAACTGAAAGGAGGCGATAAGGAGGAAAAACGACCAGGAAATTTCCTTGAACAGACGAGCAGATTGTCGGAGGGTATCAATAAGATTTCCGTGAAAATGGCTACTATTTTTCATAATGTTCGTTGTTGCAGAGACGGGAGTGGGGTTGCCGTGCAACAAAGAAGGAGAATGCGTGGAACATGCGGAGTGCAACAAAGAGGGAGGAGGGATCTGCACTTGCAACGATGGATACCTCCCCGCTCAATTCCAATGCCGTAATGCCATCCAATTTTTCCCCCTCGCTTTTTGCTTCTCTCTCTCTCGCGGCTCAGGAGGAGAATGTCATCCAACTGGAAGAAGAAGTCAGTATAGATTTACTCTCACCTTGATGGTTTTTAATTTTCTTCGTTACATGTTTTGATGGACACATGGCAGTAGATGTAACGCGTTTCATACACTCGCAGAGAAGAAGAAATGCAAAAACCTGTGGTCAAAAGTACACGAAAATGAGGTTTTTTGAAAACCTTTTCATTGTAAGCGACGTAAGGTCAGCCATCAGCCGACCAAACGCTCTCTTTTTGGGGTCTCATAAATGGAAAGAAAAAAACCTTATGCGTCTCGTACTTGTACGGTACGTACATTAGGAACAAAACTGTGGGAAAAAAAAATTGGTCAGAACTTGTTCAGAACTAACTTCAAAGACGTGTTTCTAGATATTTAATTTTCTAAATGCGAAGAGTTGAAATGCAGATTCACATGTAAGCCAAGTACGACTAGCCCCTCCCTTTAGACGATTGAATGAGAGCCAATCTGCCCCTATGCCGTGACATGGATATGCCGTGACATGACAGGCTATGCCGTCGTTTATTTCGCAAGGGGACGAACACATGTGATACCCTATTGCATGTCCTGACCCGTGTCCGTGTTAAATAACCTTTGTTGTCGATTTATGAAAATGATTCTCTTTCACCGAGAGAGTCCATAATTTTCGATTATGGACTATCTCGGTGGATTGAACTTTGGTTTTCGAGCAATTCATGTTTGTCATTTTCACCCTTGTCTTAACAAAACTCGTTACTGGGACGGATATACAGGTAAGAAGGTTTAAGTGTTGAAAATACTATTATTAGAGGCAACTAGTTTTTAAACAGGTTTTCATGGGCTTTTGTAATCCATGGCTCCCATATGACGGTGTGTGAACGGAGCATGGTCGTATGGGCATTGAGGACGTGTGGTGCACAGAATGCCATGATTAGATTATGCCAGTAACAATGTTCAATGAAAAATGCCTTAATCCAATCACGAATATTGTATAAATTAAAAATATTGCTGACTTTTTTAATGATTGTCATTTATTCCCCTACTGGAAGCAACATCTGAGCGTCGTTGAGCGAATACCACTCGGATTGCAGTCGCAGGGATGCCGAATCCCAAAAACGAATCACCCCTCGCATATATGATCAGAAGCGATTGCCCCCTTCGTAGAAAAAATAAACCGTGACGACACTGGCACAGAATATACCGAAGTCTTCTTTTAGAAAATAATGGTCAATTGAAAAATACGGTCAATGACAGATTTCGGAATGCATCATTTCCGGGAGCCTCTGCATATATGANGATTGCCCCCTTCGTAGGAACAATAAACCGTGACGACACTGGCACAGAATATACCGAAGTCTTCTTTTAGAAAATAATGGTCAATTGAAAAATACGGTCAATGACAGATTTCGGAATGCATCATTTCCGGGAGCCTCTGCATATATGATACGATATCAATTTGATTTCCTGCTTGCAATTAATGTATTATTATCTCTGGGTTTTTCAGCACCGGAGGCATAAGTGGCCTTAAGCACTAGAGGGCAGTTTCTTCCCTAGCCTTTAACGGCTGCCGCCACCGCTAGCAACGTCTATCGCCTCGCCCTAACGGTACGGTCCTCCTACCTCTTACGCGTGGGAACGCCGAGTGTGATCGAGAAGGAGGCAGCTGCACTTGCAGGAACGGGTACCATGCAGACGGATTCGAATGCAGTAAGGAATTGCCATTCCCTCCTTTCTTCCCTTTTTCCGATTCCCATTCCGGTGAAATTGTAGGCGGCTCCGACGTGATTTAACGTTAATGACTATCACGAAGAGATCGCCAGCGTGTTCGAGGTTTATAATGACTCCGTTGACTCCTTAAATATACAACTACTTTATTGTGACAACCGGCTTGGAAAGAGGTCAATAATAATAAGAACCAGGAAATGGATATGGGACAAAAATTAAAAATTCTGCTCCCTTATCGTGGCCTCCGTATTCACCGGAATTCGTGATCTCCCGTCAAAGAAGGGATCGGAAATTGCCGACGGCGGTGGCGATCGTTGCAGATAGCGGAGCGGGATTGCCATGCCAGGAGGATGGAGAATGCGCCGGGAACGCCGAGTGTGATCGAGAAGGAGGCAGCTGCACTTGCAGGAGCGGGTACCATGCAGACGGATTCGAATGCAGTAAGGAATTGCCATTCCCTCCTTTCTTCCCTTTTTCCGATTCCCATTCCGGTGAAATAGAGGAGTTTTTTTTTAACCTGAAAGTTACTGGGAAATTTCCATTTCCGATTATTTTTCCTTTGTGTTTTTTTGTAAATCGAGGCAGCCATGATAATAGGTGCATTGAGTTATAAAGGCTGTTTGATGAAGACATAATGCGTAGGAATGTCTGATTCTCCTGTTGAGAAAAAATCGCGAAATGAAAACAAGGAAAAAAAAAAACAAGCGAAAATGCATTCGCCTTATAGCTTAGTTCTCCATGCTGTTTTTTTTAATGTCTCTAGGAATTTCGGGAAAGAACTGATGCATCGAGAAACATCAAAGAGAGTGGTTATCATCTGCCAAGAGCATACGCTTTTTACTGAATCGTCACGATTAAAAGGGTTAATAACCGTATTCATATTCATTTAGGCCCTTTTTTTAAAGCGATGTATCACAGCCGCAATCAATTTGGTTTCCCTTTCCTTCGTGAAGGAAGTGAGTATTAACAATATTTTAACTTCATCGTAATACTGCTGATGGACAACTGGACGGACGGTGTTGGGTAAAAATGAATATCTACGACTGATTTCAGCCCTTGAATGCCCCCGAAATGAAAGCATTAAAGGAAATCATTCGAATGTCCTGATATTTACTTACCGGTAACTATAGGATATGTGTAAATGTATTTTCTTAAACGGCAAAAATAACTGCAATTTTATTGCTATTTTTGGTATGAGAGAAACAAAAAAAAATGAGTGGAACTGCAATAATAGGAATAGTTGATTTGACGAATTGTTTGAGGTAGAGATTAAACACATTCTCGAATGGTATTTTTTCAAGACGTGAAAGGGAGTAATTTAGAAATTAAGAAGTTGATTCGAAATGAGACTAAAACTTCTTTGTTTTTCTTTTTGTTCTGAAACAAATTTGTCGCGATCATCCTGTTACAAGTGCAGCTAACAATGCAGCCTGCATTCAGGAAATATCCAAATGAAATATTCATCCTTCATGAAATATTCAGGAACATCATTAGGGTCTTTCTCATCCGTCACGCCGTGAGTCTGCAGCCATTTTCTGAAGGAAAAGAAATCCGGTGCTTAAGCGCCTGGGATCGGGTGTCTTGAAGGGCTAGCTAATACCCTCTCACCATGTTAGACTGAGCCCGCAGGTGATTTATTTGGACGTTGCTGGATGGGAATCATGCATTTGGGGAAGATGTAGCCATCCCTATCGTTATCATTACTGCTCCCATATCCCGATTATTAATAAGCATCCAGAATAGACAAGGCATCGACAAAAAAGAAGCTGACACAAATACTATGTAAAATTACACACAGGACGGTACGGTTAACCAAGCTTTAAGCAATTTTTTATACCGTAGTAGCTGACCTTTGATAGATACCTTTCCAAGTGCACATAGCCAGTACTCTTTAACGTGAATCTAAATTTCAATAGGCTAGATCGAGTTCTGATGGAATTTTCGGCGGGAAAATGAAAAAATAAAAATGGGAAAAAAATACCACTTCTTAACGCATGCCAATTATGTTAACTTATTTTTCTTAGTTCAAGATACATGTAATAGACTCATCTTTGTGTATATTTGTCACGGCTGGAAAAAATTCATATTTTCAATTTCAGACTATTCTATAATTTTACATGGTATTCGATCATGGGAAAACTCCCTCGTAGTAATGATGGGACTTCCATTCCTAGTCCATTAAATGTGTATTTCAATTACAATCGTTAATAACGGCAATTTCCAGGCTCATCGCACACCGGACCTATGATGTTCAGGGAATCATTGATGGTGAACAATGTGTCGTGATGATTATCCATTCAAAACGGGGTGGAACATGTTTGATTGTTGCAGAGACCGGAGCGGGATTGCCATGCAAGGAGGATGGAGAGTGCGTGGAGCATGCCGAGTGTCCTGAAGGCGGAAGGATCTGCACCTGTATTGACGGATACCACCTTGTCCGCTTCCAATGCAGTAATGACATCCTATTCCCTTGCAGTCTTTTTTTTTTTCCTTTTCATTTGCCATGTTAGCAGCAGGTCAGCACGTTTTTCTGACTTAGTCAGCAATCCAAAGCTGGGAAAGCGTAATTCTGGGCTCCATCATTGCTATCAGGTAATCCCATAAGTAATGCGGTTTTTTCGCACTGCCAAACATGTGTCTTGTTTATACGTGTATCTGCGCACATCTCATGGAATATTTCTATGCTAACTTGTGTAGACGTTAGTCTTCAGTCTACGCGTAGGTTTTAGCGAGTTAACAGAGCCCCGTTTTTCTTAGACGTTAAAAACAAGATGGAGGTGTCAGAGGAGCACATAAAGCATAAAATGCTTTATAAATTTAAGAAAGGGATTAACGCGACTGCAGCCACGAAAAACATTCAATATGTTTTTTGGCGAGGAAGCTCTAAATGCGAGGAAATGCCAACGGTGTTACCAGAAATTCAGGCCTGGTGACTACAGCTTAGCCGATGAAGCGCGTTCAGGCCAACCTGTTGAGTTCGATGATGACCTGCTGATAGCCACACTTGAAGAAGATCCTGCTGTAACAGATGAAGAACTTGCCCAGAAACTCAATTCGACCTATTTCTCCGTTCATTGCGACTGGAAAATGTGTCAAAAACTTGGAAAGTGGGTTCCACATGTGTTGTCACCAGACAATCTTAGCGATCGGGAAAACATTTGCGCTTCACAGCATTCTCGTGAACTTCAAGCGCCGTTTTTGAATCGATTCATTAGCAGGATCTTCTTCAAGTGTGGCTATCAGCAGGTCATCATCGAACTCAACAGGTTGGCCTGAAGCGCGAAGTAGCCGATTCGACATCAGTGGTCTGGACTTAAAGACCTTTGTGGCAACCGTAAAGGAGAGTAAATCTCGAAGGAGTGGTTTTTTGTAGAACTTTCAAAAAGCACCGACGTCAGCGCAATATCCCTTTCTTAAATTCATAAAGCATTAAATGCCGAATGTGCTCCTCTGACACCTCCATCTTGTTCTTAACGTCTAAGAAAAACGGAGCGCTGTTAACTCCTTAAAACCTAGACGTAGACTGAAGACTAACGTCTACACAAGTTAGCATAGAAATATTCCATGAGATGTGCGCAGATACACGTATAAACAAGACACAAGTTTGGCAATGCAAAAAAACCGCATGGGATGACCTGATATAATTATATTATAATTAATTATAATGAAGAATGTAGATGCTTTCAAAGAGAAAACATGAACAGGAATACAGCGAAAAGTACCACAGTGCAATTTAAATGATCGACTAATTTTTCAATTGTCAATTGAAGACATTTGATGCGAAATACTGAAACCAAGTGTGTCGCCCGATTCATGAACATGGCCGCTTTAAGCGCTCAGACACTTGGAGTTGAACTGAGACCCACGGCTCCAGAACTTTTGGGTTATCACTTGGTTGTATCCAACCTTGCATGTTTCGCATGCGTTTGTCGGAAGTTTCAATGTTCCGCAAAACTAAAAACAAAGAAATTAAGGGGCGAATAAGGGCATGTTTCTCCTGGCATGCACTGGCCACGAAGCCATTTATCCTGCCTGTCTCATTTGGCCCTCTTGCATTGCAATTTGTTTCCGACGCCTGCCCAGAGAGGCAAGGGGACTCATATTCCCACGATTGCGTGTGATGAAAAAAAATCCCCTTTAAAGCCTTGAGCTTGATGGTAATTGGGAAAAAAAAAGCAGCATTAACTTTTTTAGGTAGATCCTCTACCGGCTTAGTGGTTGTTGCTACTTTTTTAACTTGCGGACAGCATTCAGATCCAACTTGTAACGTTCCGCACCGCACATTACCGACTTTCATAACGTCTTAACGTAATCAGAAATTTGACAAAACATCGAGATAGCGGCTTTTTGTTTTACCGACTCGGCTAATAGGGGATTCTTTGGTGACGACTGTTGTTGTCGCCTAGCTTTTGCCGTCTATTGCTCCCACTAAAGACGTCTCTGCCCTCGCCCTAACGGCACGTCGCTCCTCCCTCTGACGTATCTCGTGCGGCTCACGTCGCTCCTCCCTCCTCCTCCTCCGATGTGCACTTGCAGCAGCGGATACCGTCGTGATGGGTTCCAGTGCAGTGAGTGCATCTCGCGCTTCTGAGTTTATATATTTTATTACAGCTTTAGAAATTGACTCACTCTCTGGAGAAATGAGATCTGATCATCTTTTCGAGGATCGTGGTTCGAATTGCGTGTTGAAGATGATGTGATGGTAGGGGCCATGGCTTTCTGGGACCATTAGCAAGGCAATACCCGTGATTCCACGGCCTCGGGCAAGGAAGAAGAAAACCATAAAGGAAAGAAATCTAGGAAAAAAGGGGGAAAAATATTCTCAAAATGTCGCTTTAAAAATATTTTTTCATGATTATCGCATTGCCCATGGTTTTTATAGCTCTCCCTGGACGTGTATGGGCAAGAAAGTGACATGAATCCTGCGCGTAGCAATGACATAACCTGGCTAAACCCGATTAAAGGTCATTGGTGAATTATCATTGTAGAATTTTAACTTTTCCCTTAAGACTTAGGTAGCGACAGACCGCTTGCGCTAGGCAGCCTGCACCCGGCGCTACGTCGCGGCTCCCAGCGCTCCCTTCCTCGCCCTTAAGGGCGAAGATGGCTAAGGCAGTCCGATGCCGTAATTAGTAGAAGGAAATTAGTAGAAGAAAAAAAATAGGGCTTTTGCTTGAAATTTTGCATTCGTGATGTTCTCAACATGTTCCATTGTGTTTTGGCCTTTCATGTGGTATATAACTCGCGAACATATTTATTATCCTCGCCGTTTCTTGACTTCTGGTAAGACTTTCAAGAAATGCGTATCCTTTTTCTTGGTATGCTCTAGAAATTATTTATACCTATTTCTCTCCAAAAAATGTCGACCTCATATCTTTATTTTTCCAGGAGAGTTGACAAATATTGTTGTGCGCATTGGCCCCTTCGCTGTTAGATTGAAAAAGCGTTCACATGCCTTCATGGGTGGAGCATAAAAAGGTGAAGATATCTGCAAATGAATGAGATATCTACATGGGCGAAAATATCATTTGACCTCCATTTCAATTGCTTTTTAAACTTGAAGTTTGCAAAAATTAAGGAAAAGGCAGGACAATAAGGGTTGCACGCGAAATGGTCCGCGAGTTACAAAAAAAAAAGAAAAAGGCACATGAGACAATGCAGGGATTAGAGGAAAGTCTTGAAATCCGTCCCGGCGTGTGCAGGACGCACCTGCCTTGGAGCGATAGGGTCATTCCCGCCGTCAGTGAGTCGATTCGGACGGCGCGACTGTTGCAGGGGCGGGAGCGGGGATGCCGTGCGACGGGGAGGGGGAATGCGTGGAGCAGGCCGAGTGCAGCGAAGAGGAAGGAGGGATCTGCGCCTGCGTCGATGGGTACCGCCCTGTCCGATTCCGATGCGGTGAGGACATCCTATTCTTCCCTCTTCTTTTTTCGAATTTCCTTCCTGGCAATTTTCCATTCCATTCTCACTCTGTGAAAGCATTAAATCTCACAAATTGTATCATCGCCAGGCAAAAAAACATAACCAAGGAGTTCATCGATCTTATTGAAAAGCTTCATGTATCAGACTAATGCATGCGTGAATTTGATAAATGATAAGCATTCCCAATTTCATGAATAGTAAGCGTTCAAAGTTATATTCCATGAAATTAAAAAATAGAAAATAAAAACTTTTCGAAATTTCCACTTCTGGCGCCTTCAGTTCTTCCCCAATATGGTTTCCAATCGATCTAACTAAGGAAACAAGTTTCAGAAATTTTTGCCATAAAGTCGCTGCTCACTTTCCTCCCTTTCGAGTAGGATGAGAAAATCTCGTGAGATGTGAAATGGTCACCTTTAGGTGCGATCATATTTAATGTCTCTCAGTTACTTAGTGTTAGCGTTAGTGCTTCTGTTAGTGCATAGTCCTGTTGACTCTCATTGCATTTGATGGACGGTGCCCGGAATCCCCTCTCTATATAAACTTTTTTTTCCTTGTTTCGGGTGATTACTTGTATTTTTTGAAGCGCCGTGGAGAGGGGCTTACAGTAGAGGCTCCAGATGACGTGGCTTCTTGGATTCCTATCTTTCTTAACACCAAAAGAGGCTCGCTACCGGACGTTTTCGTCATTCGTTGTATCAACACACGAGTTCAATGTATGACAGGAAAAATGGATTTCGGAAATAATGAAATATATTCACTTCTTCGAATGGCTCGTTGCCTGGGGTATGATGGCCAGAGCAGTCTGGCTCTATTTTTTGCACATGACATGCGGTCGTTCCAGGAACTCCGATAGATTAATTGCATTATTTAGTCGTGAATTATCTCAAATGACAAATAGATGATTCAGATGATTCACGCTTTAAATTAAAAAAAATCACAGCTCCAGACGACTTAATGCGTTCAAGGTGCGGCGACTGCTAGTCGCACTAATCCATACTAATATTTTGTTATCATTTTCTGCATTTTTAAATTTCCATTTTTATTGATTCCCGGTCAAAATGGGTTCCCACTTACTGTAAAAGGGAAAGGGGGGGTAAAAGAGGCGTCTCGCTCTATTATTCAGCCCTTCGACAGCAGGCTCGCTGGCAGAGAAAGACAACGAGGAAGAGACCTAGGAATTTAATGAGCAATAAAGGTACCACTTTCTCATGGAGACCTCGATTGCGAATTCACTCTGCCGGTAACTTGTCAAAAACGCCCTGCATAAGACTCACCGAAATGCCGAATTCCCACGTCCTGACGACGTGTTTCGATCGAGGTTCGATGTGTTTCGATCTCATTCTCTCGGAATGATTCGTTTCTCGCGCACTTACGGCGTATGTCAGTCGCAGGCACGTAAGGCCGCAGACGTGAAGAACAGACGCGGAGAGGCCTTCCGTCAAGGCTCCTGCATCCTTCCTTTGCCCATCTGGCGGGGAGGATTGTGCAAAAACGGGCAGGACTGCAATAGAGGACGCGATCCTCTCGGCGACCGCGACGCACTCCGCATCGCCGGCTTCATCATGAAAGTTTCTGCTGGTCTTCTCGTTCTACTCCTTCTGCAGCAAGGTCATGTGAGTGATCCCAAAAACCAAATTACTGAAAATATCTGCAATTTTTAAGAAGCGAAAACATTTTTTTTTCAAAATTTTTTTTTTTGATAATGAATAACTTAGGCTGAAATCAATTCATTCATCAATAAAGTACTAATTAAATGCAAATGATAATTTTGGTTTCGTGATTTGGCTTCAACCCAGAAGAGTGAGAAGTAGTATTGTAGCTTTTAAGATCTGTCGTCTTTGCAAGTCAAGGCGTGTCAATTTGACGATTTCAGCGGTCTCGCATTTCAACACCGCTATAATACAATTAAATAGTTATTATTTATCTAACAAATTTCCTTGCAGACCTTGCCGCTGGACAGCTTCTCTAGCGAACTCGGAGTATGGGGACTGGGACCATACTTTGACGGTGAGTTACTGGCTTTCTGTAATTTCTCTCTTTTACAATTTCTGTTGAGTTTTGAAATTTGAGCGATCAAAGGAAATTCGACGTTGTTGTGTTCCCCAAGACACGAGACGTCAGTTGAATACAGAGACAACTATTGAGGAGCGAATGTAGTGTGATATTTAATTCGCTGGAAATTCAGTTTTTCATGCAATCATGAAAGCCTGTCTGAAAATATAGCTGTGTGACATGGTGATAACCAGCAATGGCATGGCATATCTTCAATGTGCATATCAGTGCGGCAGTACTGCACCGTATCCAAATTAGTATCCGTTGGAAGGAGTTTGTATGTCACGTTCTTGCTCACTTTCGATTACTTCACTACTCCAGTGCACTTTTCTGCCTGGGACATATGTACCAAAGTACATAAGAGTAATTTGAAGACCACATGTGCTTGTTTTTTGTCTATTGAATAACGAAGGCTCCACCTCTTACCAATGTTCTTCCATGTACCTGGGCATACATTTTCACGTACTTCGAATTGGAAGTCATGCTCAGAATAATTTAATTAACGAATCCCATCTGAACGACTAGTACGAGTGATTTCCGTCTTTTCTCAATTAAAATTGTATTATTCCTTGAAAAAAAAACATGCTGTCAGGCTCCTCTGAACGAATGTAAGCCAAAGTTCATTTTTCCACTTCCCGCCATTGCTCCAGTCTTTCCAGAATATTCAATTCAACTTTCCAGAATATTCAATTCAATTTTCCAGAATATTCAATTTCCGAATTCCCTTATTACTTGAACTCCTATTATTCCTCATTTTCTATGAACGACGCGAACCAGGGCGGTTCGATCCGCTGAAGGAACCATGATCGATAGATTTTTTTCACTATCCAGTTCTTAGTGCGGAAAGAAGCTGGGACGGGATGAGTTGGGATTACCTGCCACCGATCCAGGATCTACAGGATCCAGGTGCATTTGACGATGATGACCTCCTCAGGAATTGGTGGCCGAAATATTTCATACTGTGATCGCTGGGAAGGGCGATGCTGCGCCGTGGGTCTGGTATTTGTCGCTTGAGCGTCTTTCAAGGGTTCTTTTTGTGGAGAAGGGAAGTGAAAAGGGTACGGGAAGAGTCAATAAACGTGATATTATCTGAAAATCGAGAATTTTGCATATTAATACATTTTTGTATACATTTTTTCATAACCTTGTGAGAACATTGAAATTATTTATGTTATTATGTCGTTCTGTTTTATATCGAATGAACTCGAAAAACATTGGCGACTGTCGCAAAGCCGATTTCTTGTCATTTTTGCCCTTTCTCTGTAAAAATTTAGCATGTTTCTTTCTCTAATTGATGCTGTGACATTAATAATGTCCACTGCTAGTTTTCTTCGGAGAATGTCAAATCATAAATGGGAGAATAAATATTTAGTGTCACCTTTCAAAACTGAAAGTTCAACATCACAATGGTTTTCATTCGTTGGACAATTTGGAGCAGGGTATTGAAGAAAAATGCACCATCAATCGTAGTTTCGAAGGGATATATTGAATATTGTTGACAAGGATTTTACACCCCCCACACCTTCAAAAAATATGGTAAAAATGAATTAATTTTTGTTTGTATAGCCAG